TGCACTTAATTAGCATGAGGGGGCTTCACAAGAGGAAGCTTGCCACTGCATGGGACTTTCCAGTCTGGGCGGGTTCTGTCACTTCGGTTGTCTTATCAGGCTGTCTCATCAGGGCTTGACACCCGGAGGAAGCTGCTAACTGAAATGTTGGTGGCTTGGGTTTGCTTCGGCCTAACAGTTAGGTGCCGTGGAGTCGATCTTAGACTCATAGTGACCCCATGTGACAGAGTGGAACTGCCCCAAAGGATTTTCTGGGCTGTCATGTTTATGGGAGCACATTGACAGGTCTCGCTCCTATGGAATCACTGGGTGGGGTTTGAACCGCCAACCTTTCGGTTATTGCTGAGTGCTAAACTGTTGTGCCACCAGGGCTCTTTTTAGAGTTCGTGGACTAGCACCAACCATGTGTACCGGCTGGAGACTTGAGCTGAGAAAGGCGCAGTAAGAAGGTGGATCTGACTGGTGGTGGACACAGCTGTTCCCGTAAACCCCGAGGGGAGGGAGAGGCACCCCTGTGCAGGGAACCACTGTGGGGGGCCCTACCCCACTGCCACTGGGCAACTAGGATCTATCTCACAGCAGCACCTGTTGGGATGAGTGTGCCAGTGTCCGGGCCCCACTTCCAACCCCTGTGCTAAAAACCGTAGGTTGGCAAGTCAAGGCGGGAGGGGCAGGCCAGGGAGAAGACAGCACTGTCCCGGAGCAGAGCCGGCCCAGCCAGGGAGGACGCATTCTCCTGGTCACCGTGGTCTGTGAGACTGAACGGAGGCTGACGGGGCAGCTACAGAGTGAGGAGGAAAAGGTGTGGGGCTGCCCAGGTGCCCACTTGGAAACCCGTTTGGGTTCTACCGCTGAATAAATGTTAGAAGGACAGCAAGTCAGCAGTGGGTTCCGTGGTGAGATTCCCGCCTTCCCCGTGAGACACCCGGTTCAGTTCTGGGCCGCAGCCCCTCCCGCGTCTCTCCATGGAGACCTGTGCGTGGCCAGGATGCTGAGCAGGTCTCAGCCGGCTCCAGACTAGGAAGAGAGGCCTGGGGAGCTACTTCTTTTTTCTCTTTTTTAAAATTGTGATTTGGGTGAAAATGTATAGAGCAAATTCACTTTCCATACAGCAGTTCACATACACTTTGTCTCATGACATTGACTCCAATATACCCCAACGCAACAGCTTGGGGAGCTACTTCTGAAAAGCAGCCAATAAAACGCTTTGAATCACAGTGGTCGTCCCCCGGCAACTGATCACAGGGCGGGGCAGGACCGCAACGGTTTGCTCCTTTTTGCGTGGGGTTGCCATGAGGACGCACATAGGCAGCCAAACAGCGACCGCTGACCAGAGGGAAAGAGTCGCCCAGCCACACCCTCACGTCACTCTCCTCTGCTCTGCAACCACGTGAGGTGCAGTGACACTTTTGCCTCCAGAAGCAAGTCAGTCAGCTGCCCCAGTACCTCCCAGGCCCCGCCCACCTCCCAGGCCCCGCCCACTCCCCGAAGGAGCGACTGCCTTCCTAGGACCGGGGACAGGGGAGCCAGGGCTTTTTTGCGCTCTACCCGCCTGGGGGAAGGTTCCAGGCGGGAGCTGGGAAGGAGGCGTACCTGGGGTGTCCTGGGGAGGAGGTGGGGGGCCCACACCCTGACAGGAATATGCTCGATTCTCACTGTTATGAAGGGTGCTGGGTCCCCAGTTGTCAGGGAGTGGAAGGCGACCCCACGTGGGTCAGGGTAGAACCCTCCATGGGGTCTTCAGTGGCTGAGTTTTTAATATTTTATCTTATTTACTTATTTGCTGGATGTTAATGTCGACCTTGGTGTCCCCCGAGACTATGGTCTGAGCCCCACATCCAGCAATTCATCCCCTCGGGGTGTTTAGTTATGACTAAGGCCTTTCCGTGACTTTTGCCCGTGTGCTCTGCACAGGCATGGCTCCGTCTGCAGCACGTGTAAATCCATGGGTACAGCTAGCCTGTCACACCTGTGTACATCTGGGGGCGTGGTCCCCCGCGTCTTCCTGCCCCGGTTCAGAGCGACCGTCTCAGCGTGGCTCGTCAATTATCGTTCCTACAGTTACTGCAGGACTGTGTGTGTAACAGCGTTCACCTGGCTTGCCTTTAACTCTGCTCCTCCCTGTTTCTTCCACTGCCTTGATATATTATTAATATTTCATCTTCTTAGTGGAAATGTACGCAGCAAAACCGAGTCCCACTCCACACTTTCTAGGCATATTGACGAGTCACGCTGGCTACGTCCTTCACGTTGTGTCAATGTTCTCGTTGTCTCTGTTCGAGTTGTTTCACGTCCACTGACTTGAACTCCTCGTTCGGTGTCTGGCTTTTCGGATGTGGATCACCGGGTCTTTCTTCTGAGGTGCTGTGGGCACACTTGAACCTGCAACCTTCTGCTTTGCAGCCGAGCGCGCTCGCCATTTGCACCACTCGGGGCTCCCAGGGGCTCAGAAACCACTGCCACTCGCTTTTCTCCATAACGCTTTATTTGAAAACAACTCCCGGGACCCTGACAGTCCCTCTGCTTCTGTGAGGGCGGAGCTATTTCCCGGGGGCTCCCAGCCCCCCTGCCCGGGCCGCAGCCTTGGCGACCGGCTGGGAAGCCCCGCCATCATTCCTGAAGCCCCTGAGCAGCCTGGCCCAGAACCCCGTGACCCTGTGGCCCGTGTCGGTGCGCAGCGCCTTGGGGATGGCGTAGGCCAGCCAGAGCGACAGCAGGAGGCTGAGCAGCAGCAGGGCGATGGTGACCTCTTTGCGGACGTTGATGGATGGGAAGGCCCCGTAGACGTAGACGCTGAAGGTGGTCTCCAGGCCACAGTAGCTGCAGGGGCGGGCGGGCAGGGCGGGCCGTGGGCCTGGACCTCCTGAGGGCTGTCCCGTTACCCCGGTGAACACGCTCCCACCCACATGCAGCACGGCCCGGGGTCAGCAGGGGCCAGGAGCACCTCCTTCCGTTTCCTGCATTACGATCATGCGATCATGCGTCTGGCGGCTCGGACTCTGCGGCTCCTGGCACTGGCCATGTCCAGGCCCTCTGTGGTCTGCCCCTCTGGGCACAAGGCCTGCCTTCCCAAGCTGAGTCCAGAGAGGGCAGAAAGGAAAACCAACCCAAACCAGTTCCCGCCCAGCCCGGGGTGACGGAGTCAAGGGGGCAGGCCTCCAGACTCATTGGTGCTGACACACGTGTGTCGGATGGGCCGTCCCTCAGGGTTTGCGGCTGATGTTTGAGAAGCAGACCGCCAGGCCTTTCTTCTGCAGCACCGCCGCATGGACTTGAACCCCTGGGCTTTTGATTGGCAGCCGAGAGCATTAACCATTGGCATCACCCACTACACTGTAAGGACACAATGGCAGTGGGGAATGGGGCCAGTGACAAGGAGCCACAGGTGGTCTCAGAGAGGAACCTGGAACAGGGATGATGTGGACAGCAGACAGGAGGGACGCAGCGGGACAGGTGCAGGGCTTCCAGAGATAGGGAACCCCTTGGGAGAGACAGGAGGGTGTGAGACCTCACTGGGGTGCTGCTGGTTGTGGGGTCTGGGGAAGGAGTGTGAAGGGGAATGGGAAGGGACAAGTCTCACGGTGCCCTGTCTGACCTCTGCACACTCTGCCCCAGGTCAGAGGCCTCTAGGGCAGGGTAGGGTCCCTACAGGGAGTAGCACAGGAAGGCGGACAGTGGCTGAAGGTGAGGGTAAGGACATGGGAATGGATGCCACCTCACGGTCCCCTCGCACTGGGAGATGTTAAGGATCTGGGACAGCACTCTGAGAGGTGGCTTGCAAAGCCTTTCCAGAACGTACCAAAATACCAAAAACCAAACTCACTACCATCGAGTTGGTCCCAGCTCATACTGACCCCTCCTTGGGTTTCCGAGGGGGTACTCTAAGGAAGTAGATTGTTCAACCTTCCTTCTGAGGAGTGGCTGGCAGGTTTGAACCGCCAGCCTTCTGGTTATCAGTCAAGTGCCTTCGGCACTGTGCCAGTGAGCATGCTGAAGGAGCACTCAGAAGTGGGGGCCTGCTTTGGAGTGTGTGCCTCTTGCCCTGGTGTAAATCCCCCCCCTCCCCGCGCTGATTTCAGATGCCTACGCACAGTTGGCTGTTGCAAAGTTTCTGAATATCTGATCACCAGTTTGAGCCGGCTCCGGGACACCACGGCTGACATGCCACCAATTGGGTGTCATGATAGGGTGACTGCTGCCCACAAGGACAGGGACCTGGCTGCTGGTCCCCGCTGCTCCCCCAGCACCAGCTCTGGCCCCCAGCAAGCTAACGGTTGACTTAGTGAGAGGACAAATGTTGCCACTACTTAAAACACCACATACGTGACCCGCCCAGGACAGCTGGCCTCACCGGAGGCCCTGCCACAAGGTGGCCCCAGGCCCTCCTCACCTGTAGTAGGGGTCCACGATGTAAAGGTGGAAGATGTACATTCCATTCCTTTGGTCAAAAATGACCTTGTTGTCCGTTGGGCCACCCAGGATCTGATAGGGGACATCTGGCCACTTCAGAGGGTCACCACCTTCAGGCTTATGGCAGCTCTCATAGGTCTGGGGAGGAGGACTCAGGCCCTCAGACTGCAGATGCCCCTTGTCCCCAGGCCCTCCCTTGGCCAGCGCCCACAGGCACCCTCCAGCCACTGCCCGCCCTGCTGCACCCCATGGCTGCCCTTGGTGAGTGGCCTGTGGTCCCTGTGGAGGAGACGCTCAGGCTCCTCTAGGTCTTGCCTCTCCAGGCCTTCCTGCACGGAGGCTGTTAGTCAACAGCTCTGTTCCCAGACTCCCTTGCAGCTGTGAGTCTGAAGTGAACCAGGCGTCAAGTACACACTTGCGGGGAAATGGGGAGGTGAGAATGAAGTGGGGGCCCTTCCCGAGGGTTTTCACTGGCACCGGTCCCCGGTACGGCTGTGGGTGCCAGGAGGTAGGCAGGTAGCTGTCCTCAAGCTCAGCAGTACCGACAGCCTTCTCTGTCCCCCGCCTTTCTGATCTTGGTGGAGGTGGCGGCTCCCTGCTGTCAGTCCTGGGGTCACTCCCTGAGACCAGCCTCGAGCCAACCCCTCCCGTGTGCCTAGAGAGTGACTCTCTGAGCTCGCCACTCCCAGTAACGCCAGACAGTGGCTTCCGACCCAGGCACTACACAGTGAGGACATGCAGACGACACAACCTTGCTAGTTCAAAGTGAGGAGGACTTGAAGCACTTACTGATGAAGATCATAGACTGGATTGTTCAGTATGGATTACAGCTCAACATAAAGAAAACACAAATCCTCACAACTGGACCAAAAGCAACATCATGATAAATGGAGAGAAGATTGAAGTTGTTAGGGGCTTCATTTTACTTGGCTCCACAATCAACGCCCATGGAAGAAGCAGTCAGGAATCAGGCATTGTATTGCACTGGACAAACCTGCTACAAAAGACCTCTTTAAAGTGTTAAGAAGCAAAGATGTCACTTTGAAGACTAAGGTGCGCCTGACCCCAGCCACGGCGGCATTTTCAATCGCCTCATATGCATGTGAGAGCTGGACAATGAACAAGGAAGACTTAAGAAGAGTTGATGCTTTTGAGTTGTGGTGCTGGGAGGAATACTGAAAGTACCATGGACTGCTAAAAGAACCAACAAATCTGTCCTGGAAGAAGTGCAGCCGGAATGCTCCTTGGAAGCAAGAATGGCCAGACTTCGTCTCACCTACTTTGGTCATGTTGTCAGAAGGGACCATTCCCTGGAGAAGGATGTCATGCTTGGTAAAGTGGAGGGTCAGCGAAAAAGGGGAAGGCCCTTAATGAGATGGATCGACACAGTGGCTTGACACAGCGGGTTCAGGTACAGCAGGGATTGTGAGGCTGGCGCAGGACTGGACAGTGTTTTGTTCTGTTGTACATGGGGATGCTACGACTCAGAAATGACTCACTGGCACCTAACAACAGTCTTTACGGAAGCGACTGCCTCCTTCTTCTGCCAAGGAGGGGCTGGTAGGTTCAAACCGTTTAACTTTAAGCTGGCAGCGGAGCACTTAACCACTGTGCCACCGAGGCTCCTTCAGACCAAAGTACGGAAACCAAAGATGGTAACTAGTGGTTCCCAGGGCTCTGGTAGCGTAGTGTCTAAGGCACTTGATTGCTAACCAGAAGGCTGGCGGTTCAAACCCACCAGCCACTCCTCAGAAGAAAGATGGGGCAATCTACTTCCGTAGTGAAACTGCCTCGCAAACCCAAGGAGGGGTCGCTATGAATCGGGTCTGACTCCGCGGCACGTAACAACAGAGGGAGGGCGAGGGGGTACTTTTCACTTAGGGGCACCTGGTTTACGTTAATGACGGTGGAATAATTGGGAAAGGCTCAAAGAAGGTCATCGGTGTCGCCGAATTTTACAGGTAAAATTGCTGAACTGATGCATGTTTTCTTGTGTGTATTTTCACCACAATTTAAAAAAAGAAAAATGTAGAACCACCACTACTGACAACAAAAAAACGATCAAACGCACGTGATGGAAGGAGATATAAAGAAGCCGGAGTCGCCCAGCTAAGAAAGCGAAGCCGGAATAAAAACAGCAGAGCCGCGAGGCTGGGGCGTCGAGTGCAGCGAGTGAGCGCCCCCTGCTGGCGGCATTCGCTGTGTTCCTGCACTTGAAGCTCCGCAGCCCTGGCTTGAGGCAAAACAGGAGCGAGCAGAGAAAACTCTCGCGGGAACCAACGCAGCGTCTACATGAGACAGACATCCTGCCCTATCTCCAACTGTGTAGAAACGGATTTGAATTCCAGAAACACTCAGCAAGACGGGCAGACCGTGAATTTCACCGGTCCCTTCGTGGGCCCTAAGTGGAGTCCCTGGGGGGGTGTTCAAATGGCTAATTCACCCGGCTGCTAATCAGAAGGTTGTCAGTTGAGTCCCCCAAGAGGTGCCTGACAGGAAAGGTCTGGCGATCGACTTTTAGTTTCGCGGAGCACAGCTCTGCCCTACACACACGGGGTCGCAGGAGCTGGAATAGACTTGGTGGGAACTGAGTTGGTTTTTTGTTTGTTTGATATAATGGCCATTTAGATGTTTCAGAATTTGGCTAACAATCAGTAAGGCCCAGTGACCATCTCGCTGCAAACCTCTGTGACTGTCTGGCCAATTCCCTTGGGAGGCAGTCCCAGAGAACCTGCTTTTCCAACTTCCCATACTCAGCCCCTGTGCCCCGCAGTGTCCCACTCCCCACTCCCAACCCCCACCCCTGACCTGGGCATGGCCAAGCCCTGCCATCTCCTTGGAAGTAACCCAAGAGCAAAAGTCACCTCTCTGTTCCAGACGTTCTTGCTTTGATTAAAGCGTGACATCATGGTGGTCCAGTTCTGTGGCTGCCACTTGCAGTGCGCGGTGCGGGCTGTCAGGGTGTACGAGTATGTGAATAGCCCGTTCACCTCCAGCAGGACGTACTCGGCGTGGACCACCTCCTGGAAAGACCCATCTCTCCACCTGGAACACATGTGTACTCAGCCTGGCTGTGGAGGGGAGTCGGAACCACAGCCACCTTTGGGGCAGGAGGCCCTCCAGTTAGGGGGACAGGGACTGCTGGCTCCTGGGCTGGGCAGGGTGGAAAGGGGGGGTGATGGGGTGGTGGGCAGTGTGCATTTTATACGGAGGGCTCCCCAGAACCCTCTCTGATAAAGAGCCATGTCAGCCGAGGCTAGAATGAACCACTGAGTGTTCCATGACTGACTAATATCACCAATAGATGAATGAGGGCGTATAACCCATCACCTTCCCCACCCTGTTTTTCTGAGGACATCTGGAAATACTGGAAGGTGTACATTTCAAACAAAACAACCCCAAACCCACTGCCATCGAATCAATTCCAACTCAGCGACCCCCGTGGGGTTTCCAAGGCGGTAAATCTTTGTGGAAGTAGATTGCCCAGTCTTGCTTCCACAGGGTGGCTGGTGGGTTTGAACCACCAACCTTCTGGTCAGCAGTCAGATGCCTTAGGCACTGTACTACCACCGGCAATTAGGGTCTTGTGGGGTGTTTTCAATAATTTCTTCATTGTTGTTGAGAATCTAGACAGCAGAACCTAGGCCGATTCAACACTTTCTCCATGTGCCTGCCATTCAGTGACGTGGATGACAGTCTGCAAGTCGTGTGACCATTCTCACCCTCCTTATCTGAGGTATTCCTCCCCCATGAACTTGAACTCCCTGCCCCCTAAACTTCCCATCTAACCTTTTGAGTTGCTGCTGTCAATTTGATCCCATAGAGAGAGTTCTTCAAAGAGCTCAGTGCTCAAGGCACACATTCCTTACTAGTTAAGTTCAAGTATTGTTTGGTTTTAAGAAGATGTAAGGGGCTATTTTGGGCTTAAGGTTTAAAGATTCTCTCAGGGCAGTAGTTCTGGGGATTCATTGGCCTTAACTCCTACACATGCTTCAATACCCCATAGGCAACACCTCCTTGGTGAAACCTTTGAGTCCTCCACATGTTAAGCTTTGTTGAATCAACTCCCCGGCAGTGAGCACCGACTGGACGCCAAGCTTGAGCTGCCCTCCTGCTCTGACCAGGACCTTTCTTTCTTCTTTACCCTGGCGGATGTTACCCCACTACCCGACAGCTCTGAGCTGGGGTGTGAGCCTTGGCCCCTAGGCACCAGGCTCAGTCCCGTGTGCCCAGCCCAGGGCCTGCCGCAGAGCAGGCAGGGCGGACAGCTGCTGAATGGAACGTCAGGTTTGACGTTGGCTGGAGCCCCCAGGTAACACAAACGGTGAACACGCTCAGCGTCTGGCTGAAGGGCTGGAGGTTCGAATCCACTCAGAGAAGCCTTGGAAGGCGAGCCTGGCAAGGTGCCTCAGAAAGATAACCCTATGAACACAACTCTGACGCATGGGGGCGCCAGGAGTTGGGGTCGAGTGAGGGCAGCTGGTTTTACGGTTGGTCCAGGGCGATGGGGTGTGCCTTTCTTATCTGTTTCCGTCTGGGATCCCCCGAGCCCCCTGCTCCGTGCCCTCGATTTTGCCTGGAGTAGGATCAAGGCCCGTGGGATCAAGGTGTGAGTTTAATGAACCTAAACACTGACACGTGTGAGCTTGGCCCCATGCCGTAACTGTCAGCTAACAGCCATTTACGGTCGGCAACGGGCCAGGGCCGAGTTAGGCCACCGGCTGCACGGGGTTATTGCAATGAACTGCAGTGGAATGAAAGGAGGTACCAGCTTCTCAGCTCCGCTCGTGGCTCCCACAGCGGACAGCACACGATTATGGAACATTTCTGGTCGCAGAAAGCTCTGGGGGGCAGCCAGTCTGCGGCTTGATCGGGGTCAAGGCAGCTGCAGCTCCAGTCTCTGTGAGCCCAGGGCCAGGCAGCTTGGGCTTCTCATCTGACCACCCACGCGGATGGAGCCATTACACGTGGGGCCCACGGAAAGGAAGGAAAAGCAGAACTCCAGCTTCTTAAAACGTCCAGACTTACTGGACTGGTTGAGACCAGAAGACTGCTGAGGCCACTGCCCTGAGATGCTCTTGAAACCATGAACTGCAACTAGCCTCTGAGGCTGCCTTTTAGAGGAATAACAGACTGACTCATAAAAGCAAGCCTGTCCTGCGTGTGTGCTGCCCTCCTTTAAAAAATCATCTGTGGGAAGCCAAACGGTCAACAGCAGCTCTAAAGTGAAGATGAGAAAGTACGGGGACAGGGAACAGTTCCAGAAACGGAAGAACCAGAATGGAACTAATGAGAATGTTCACATGGTGTGAAGAGTGGGATCAGTGCCGTGGGACAGCTTATAGGGACATGGTTAGATGGGGGCCTGAGTTGCTATATGTACCTTCACCGAAAACACAATAAAATATTTAAAAAAAAACAATAATAAAAAAAAATGAAATTATATAAAGGGGCGTGGGGTGAGTTGATTCACTGAGGGTTGAATGTGACGCATGGGGGACTCTGTCCTGATGACACAGCAGAGCCCACGGCCGCAGGTTAAATCGGGGAGGAAGGGGGTTGGCTGTGGTGAGGGGACATGTTGTGGGTGTGGGGTCTGGAGAGGCTGGTGGGGCTGGGGTGCAGAGTGAGGGCTTTATCTGAAGGGTCAGGAGGGGGCCCCAGGATGAGGGGACACAGGCCCCCCCCACTGCACCCTGCTGGGTCTCACAGTTGTACCACTGGCTTCCACGGGGTGTTGTAGTAGACAAGCTGAGGGCAGCCCAGTTCCTCATATGGATAAAACACTATCAGGTCCTCGACGGCCTTGTGGCCCCGGAAGGCGCGGTCGTGGGCCTCCCTGTGGGAGGGCAGGAAGGACAGACAACTTGGTGGTAAATTTTTTTTTTTAAGGTATTGGAACTTTTTTTGTGTATGTGGGTACGTGATTTGGGTGAAAGTTTACAGAGAGAAAATTGATTATTAATCCACCAGCACATACACATTTTGTTCTGTAACACAGACTGCAGTCCTCATAATGTAACAGCTCTCTTCCCACTGCCTCCCTGGCTTTCCCATTTCTGTCCCTCCTCCTTTCTGCTTCCTTCCTGCCTCTGGAGCTGGGCAAATGCGCCCTTTGGATCTCATACGGTTAATGGTCCAGGGGGTGTGTACCTCCCCGGCGTGACCGTTCACCTGATAGGCCTATCATTTGAATGAAAGGCGAGCCACCAGGGTGAGTTCAGTTCCAGGCTTGAATGGTGTCTAAAGGCCACAGTCCTGAGAGTTCCACCAGTCTCTATCAGACCAGTACCCTGGTCTTTCTTATGATTTTGAGTTTTGCGCCCACTCTATCCAGGACCTCTTACTGTGATCCTTTTCAGAGTGGTCAGCAGTGGTAGCTGGGCACTGTCTAGTTTTTCTGGTCTCCGAGTCATGGAGGCTGGGGTTTACTGGTCCATTAGTCCTTTGCACTAACTGTTTCCCTACATTTTCACTTTACTTCACTCTTTCTTTTGCTTTGGGCAAGTAGAGAACACCTTAGATGACTGCTCATAAGCTTTGAAGACCCCAGTCGCTACTCCCCAAAGTAGGATGCACAACATTGTCTTAATGGAGCGGGTTGTGCCAATTGACTTTAGTGTCCCCTGAGTATGGTCCTGAGCCCCCAGGCCCAGCGACTGATTCCCTCGAGGTGTTTGGTGATGACTAAGATGCTCTCATAATTGGTCCCTGTTTGCGCTACTGTCTTCGTGGGCATATTTGCAGCCCATATAAATACACAGATAGAGATCCTCTATGAAACCTACATATACTCTTGGGTGCTGTCCCTGGTCATCCTCCTGTGCTGGTGAATTTTGCAACAACCTATCCAGGCTCTGGTGCCTTCAGCCAAAGATTATTCTACAGTTGATTATGAAGTAGTTACATGTGATTAAAGAAGCCATGGTGACTCAGTGGTTAAGCGCTCAGCTGCTAACTGAGAGTTTGTGGTTTGAATCCACCAGAAAGACCTGGTGATCTGATTCCATAAAAATACAAACCAAACTCAATGCTGTCGAGTCAATTTGACTCAGAGCAACCTCTCCTTGGGTTTCTGAGGCAGTGTCTCTACGGAAGTAGATTGCCATGTATTTTTCACCCATGTACATAACATACACACATGTAATGTGCACAGCACTCCCAGGAAACTAATTCACGAGTGCATATGACATGTGCACTATTTGTATAACAATATGCACAGCCTTAGGGACCCTGTGGGGCAGTTCTACTCTGTCCCATGGGGTCACTATGAGTCGGGACACACTCGATGGTGCACTATGAGTCAGATGACACTCAGTGGCACCCAACAACATGTGATTAAATCAGTTGTCCTTAGGTAAGCAGACTACTCCCCACGATGTGGGTGGGCCTCATCCAATCAGGAGCCCAAAGAGCACAAAGGACACTTCTCTAGGATGTGTTCCAACGCAGAATACAAACAGAGCTCCCCCATGCTGCCTGTCACTTGATCCAGGGACACAGCCTGTAGGAACCTCCAGCCTGGTGCCTGACCATGGATCTTGGAGTTGACAGTTATGACCCCCCTATCCCATGGTGATCACTTTCCTTTGGAATGGGCACAAATAGGGATCTCTTCCAGTTGGTTGGCCAGGTCTTCCAAATTTCTTGGCATCGAGGAGTGGCCACTTCCAGGGTTACATCTGTTTGTTGAGCCATCTCACTGGGTATTCCGTCAATTCCTGGGGCCTTGCTTTCTCTATCAATGCCTTTGGTGCAGCTTGGACGTCTTCCTTTAATACCACTGGTTCTTGATCATATGCCACCTCGGGAAATGGCTGAACGTCAGCCAATTATTTTTGTACAGAGACTGTGTATTCCTTCCATCTTCTTCTGCATCCTCTGCCTGCATCATTCAATATTTTGCCATAGAATCCTTCAGTATTGCAACTCAAGGCTTGAAATTTGACTTCGGTCCTTTCAGCTTGAGAAGTGCCGTGTTCTTCCTGTTTGCTTTTCTCACTCCAGGTCTGTGCACATTCCATTGTAACACTTCACTCCGCCCTCTCGAGCCACCCCATGAAATCTTCCGTTCAGCTCCTTGACTGCAACATTTCTCCACTCACTTTAGCTGCTCTCCATTCACGAGCAAGTTTCAGAGTCTCTTCTGACATCCATCTTCATCTTTTCTTTGTTTGCTGTGCTTTTAACAACATTTTGCTTTTTTAATCTTTTATAAAAACTTTCATTATTCTGTTTTTTAAAGTGTGATTTGGATGAATGTTTACAGAGCAAATTCGTTTTCCATACAGCGGTTCATACACATTTTATTTCATGACATTGATTGCAATCCTCACAATGTAACAGCTCTCCTCCCACTTCTTCCCTGTGGTTCCTTTTCCCGGTGTCCTTCTTTCCTATGGATTTCTTCCCTCTGAGCTCTCTCTCTGTGCAAACGCTGCCCTTCTCATCTCCTACGGCTGATTGCTCTAAGGAGCATACCAATGTGGTGTAAATGTTCACCTTGCAGGCCTGTCTATACTTTGGCTGGAAGCCATAGGAATGACTTCAATTCCAGGCTTGAAGAGTAACTAGGGGTCATTCCCTGGGGCTTTCATCAGTCTCTATCAACCCAGTAGTCCTGGTCTTATTTATGATTTTGAGTTTTGTTCCACATTTTTCTCCCATTCTATCCAGGACCTCCTGCTCTGATCCCTTTCTGAGTGGCTGACAGTGGTGGCCGGGCACCATCTAGTTCTGGTCTCAGGTCATCTAGGTTGAGGTTCCCATGCTTCACCAGTCCCTTGGACTAATTGTTTCCACGTATCATTGATCTTCTTCATTCTTCTTTGCTCTGGATGAGGAGAGATCAACTGTTGCATCTTAGATGGCCGCCTGCAAGCTTTTAAGACCCCAGTCACTACTCACCAAAGTAGGATGTAGAACAGTATGTGTAGTATGTTATACCAATTGAGCTTGATGTCCCCCATGTCCATGTCTTCATCTTTGATGTTATCCCACAACTTGTCTGCTCTTCAGTCATTAAAAATTTAATTTGTACCTATTCCAAAGAAAGTGATCCAACATAATGGAGAAATTATAAATCATTAATATCATATGCAAGTAAAATTTTGCTGAACATAATTCAAAATCAGCTGTAGCAGTATTTTGACAGGGAACTACTAGAAATTCAACCAGTTTCAGAAGAGGATGTAAAATGAGGGATATCATTGCTGATGTCTGATGGATCTTGGCTGAAAGTAAAGAATACCAGAAAGATGTTTACCTGTGTTTTACTGACTATGCAAAAGTATTCAATTGTGCGGGTCATAAAAAATTATGGATAACATTGCAAAGAATGGGAATTCCAGAACACTTAATTGTGCTCATGAGGAACCTGTACATAGACTAAGAGGTGGTTGTTCAAACAGAACAAGGGGACACTGCATGGTTTAAAATCAGAAAGGGTGTGCATCAGGGTTGTATTCCTTCCCCACACTTATTGAATCTGCATACTGAGCAAATAACCTGAGAAGCTCGACTATATGAAGAAGAACATGGCATCAGGATTGGAAAAAGATTTATTAACAACCTGGGATACACAGATGACATAACCTTGCTTGCTGAAAGTGAGCATAACTTGAAGCGCTAACTGATGAAGCTCAAAGACTACAGCCTGCAGTACGAATTATACCTCAACATAAAGAAAACAAAAATCCTCACAACTGGGCCAATGAACAACATCATGATAAATGGAGGAAAGATCGGAGTTGTCAGAGAATTCATTTTACTGGATCCACAATCAACACCCATGGAAATAGCAGTAAAAAAATCAGACATCATATTGCAGTGGGTAAATCTGCTGCCAAAAAAGCCTCTTTAAAGCATTAAAAAGCAAAGATGTCAATTTGAGAACTATAGGCTCCTGACCTAAAGCCATGGTGTTTTCAATCACTTCATATGCATGCAAAAGCCAGACAATGGATATGGAAGAGCAAAGAAGAATAGACACCTTTGTATTACAGTGTCGGGGAAGAATACTGAATATACACCATGGACTATCAGAAAAACAAACACATCTGTCTCGGGAAAAGTACAGTCAGAATGCTCCTTAAAAGTAAGGCTGCGAGACCTCGTCTCATGTGCTTTGCACACGTTATCAGGATGGACAAGTCTTTGAAGAAGGCATCACGCAAAGAGGAAGACCCTTAA